CACACACATACACACTCACCTACACATCCTCACAAATATACGTATACCTACACATGGCCACATGCACACCTGCAAAGATCTACACTCGATCCAGCAGTGGTGGCCCACGCCTTCAACCCCAGCACTTGGGAGGCAGAGGCAGGTGGACCTCTGTGAGTTTGAGGCCAGCCTGGTCTACAGAGTAAGTTCCAGGACAGCCAGGGCTACACAGGGAAACCCTGTCTTGAAAACAACAACAACAAAAACCAGATACACACTTGACCACACCCATCACACCCTCACACACTCAAGGCACACACACCAAAATACATACCCACAAACATATCCTCACATACCTGCACCAGCACAGACACATAAAACCTGTTTATGCACACCTACATAAATTTAATATATGCATTGGTGCGCACACACACACACACCTACACACAGATGCACACACAAAAGAATAGGAAAGAGAAACAGGCACATTTCTAGGTGTGACTCTGAGATAACCGGATGCTGACTCTGGCCTAACCAACAGATTCTCCTCGATGGAGTCCTAATGTACTGGCATTATTGGGAGATGTTTGGGGAAAGTGGGCCTCTAGATCTCCATCCGTCTCTTCCGGGCTGCAGAGAGTGAAGGGAGACCTCCATCACAAGCTCCTGCCACTGCACTCCGATGTCCAAGAGCACAGACAACTCTGGGATGAAGCTCTGAGCCCATCAGGCGAAATGAACCCTTCCTCCTGAAGGTGGGCTCTGTCAGCCATTTTGTTATAGTGATGAGACATCCACCAAAATAAACAGGACCTGGGGTGGCAGCAAAATCTGGAGAGCCACCAGGATGAACAACATGCCCATAGGAAAGAGAAGTGAAGGAGGTGTCCGGAGAAGCGGGGTCTAGGAACTGCACAGCTGAGTGACTCAGAAAAAGCAGAGGGAGGGCCCCCTCCAGTCGTTACAAGGCTGCCAGGACCACCCTGGGGTCTGACAAGGGTCCTTGGAGTCTCTGCAGAGACTGGCCACACAGTCACTGTCCTATTTAGTTTTAATTGCCGATTTGAGACAGCCCAGAGGCACCTGAAGAAGCCTGAGTTGAAGGACTGCCTAGATTAGACTGGCCTGTGGGCTTGCCTTCGTGGCATTGTCTTGATTCTTAATTGATGTGGGAGAGCAGCCCAATCCCTGGGCAGGTGGACCTGAGCTGTAAGAGAAAAGCTAGCTGAGCTTGAGCCGGAGGATGAGCCTTCAAGCAGCATTCCTCCACAGCTCCTGCTTCAAATTCCTGCTTTGACATCACTCAGTAAAGTAAATTAGCAAAATAAATCCTTTCTTCCTCTAAGTTGCTTTTGACCAGATAGTTTTTATCACAGCAACAAAATGAAAAGAACAACTTCCCAAACCCTCCTCCATTTGCTTCTAAGCACAAGCTCATATTTCCCAGCTTCCATGACTGACTTCTAGCCAATAAACACCTCTTTTTTCTTGCAGTGATAGAGGTCAAACACAGGGCTTCATGGAGGGCAAGAGCTCGATCACAGCCCCAGCCACTGGAATGTGAACAGCGGAGGCAAGGTACAAGTCCTTTCCAGCCCTACAAACTTGAACAGTACATACCCTCACACACTCAATGCCACACACTCACACCCACACACACCAAAACACATACCCACAAACACACGCCCACATACCTGTACATGTTCATTTGCCTTTCTTGGTTTATTGTTAACAAATGCAGAGTTTGGGCAAACTGGAGCTTTACAGTACAAGAGCCACAATATGGCAAGGGCTCTACGCTGTCAATAATTTGGGGAGATAAGACTGCCAACGAGAAAGCACCAGTTTTGACTTTCAGTGAGCAACACACTTCCATTAACTTGAAGCCATTCCTAGTTTGGAACCATTCTTTGTAGCAGCCAGTGTGGGAAATGAATATACATTTGCATTCACCCAGAGCTCATTCCTTGCATTCACATCTGCAAGTCTGTTAAAGACATGAGGAAAACCTGCCAAAGTTCAAACCATAAGGTCCCGTAGCCATAAATCCTCAACACACAGCCAGCACCAGGAAGGAAAGACACCCTGTCACCAAGCAAAGGATGAGACCCACTAATAAGGGTCTGTCAGATACCTTGGTTTGTAGGTTTAAATCCCAGTCCCACTGCTTAGCAGCTGGAGGATGTTTATGCATCCTGGGTGGTGGGTTGGTAATGGAGGCATCTTCTGCCCTCTTTTGTTATGCTGAGGACATCATGGCATGGCAACTGTAGAAGCTGCCAGCTACAACAAGCCATTGTTTTAGTTCTATTAGGCAGCACTCTCTGATATAGATGGTGGAGACAGCATAGAGGTGGGGGCGGGGGGAGAAGACAGTGCACAAAACAACCCTGGGCACAGGTCTCCAAGCCCAGCCCTTGCCACAAGTCATGAAACTAACAACACCTCGACATCCTTTAAAAAATACGCTAAAGAATAGAATGCAGTTGCCTACCCTGTTAGCACCACGACAAAGTCCATGACGTTCCAGCCATTCCTCAGGTAGGAGCCTTTGTGGAAGGCAAAGCCAAGAGCCACGATCTTAATTCCAGCCTCAAAACAAAAGATTCCAATGAAGTATGGTTCCGTGTCATCCTGGAAGGGAGAGAAGACAGCATCAGTGGCATGAATGGTGAAATTTCCCCCAAGGCAGCACACCCAGGCATGTGCACCCCTTCCCTTTCCCAAAAGGCGGAGTGAACAAAGTGAACAAAGGCGGAGACCTCCGACACTAAAGGAACATATTCTGGAAGTTGAGCTTCCTCGGACATTGTATCACAGTGAAGGAATCCTAGGAACAACCCACTTCCTGGCTACGAATCCTGGTTTCCCACCTTTAGAGATGTGGCTGTTGCCTTGGTGGAGGCTACAGAGGTCAAAAACGCATGACTTCACAGTAGAACCTGGCCTAGAATCCACCAACGAGAAGCTGAGGGTGTGGCTCCAGAAGTAGATCTCTTGCCCAGAATCCCCTAGTAAGGGTTGGGGCATGGCTCACTACCAGAGAGCTGGCCTAGCATATGTGAGGCACTGGGTTCATCCTTAAAAGTAGCAAAATACCAAATAGGTAATAAATAAACAAATCAAGTATGTATTTGACTTCTGGTAGAACAAAACAACCACAAAAAATGACATAACTGAGACAATGATGGCTCTCTGGACACTGATTGGTTCTGAGGCATTGCTGATAGTTGTGCTGGGTACAAAAACCATGATCTTGGAAACATGAGGTGCCTGCACTTCTAGTTATGCAGTCATAAGTCATGGTTGTTGATTATGGATGTGTCCTAGAATACTTCTGATGAGGAAGATGAGGGCGAAGGGAAATGAAGGCCAAGGATGAATGGAGGGTGGGCTCAGCAGCTAAATTTAAGGAGTAGGTTCACAGTGGCTAACTGCTGTGTTCTATACTTAAGTACAGTCACATTTTCTTCATGAAAATTTTGTTTCTGAGCATGAAACATAAAATTGGATTTGGATTGAGTATGATGTCTTCATGGACAGTGTGATGGTCGCTGTGCCCTGGTGTGTACCAGGTCTGCTGGCTTTCAAGGGTGGGGTTGGGCATTGAGGGCCCCCATGTCTCCAGGTCACTGGTGATTTGCAAGGCAGGCCTTCTCCCACACAGCTCTCAGCCCAGGGACCCGGACCCCTTCCACCTCGTTGCTCACCAGCCGCTCAGACATGGGTGTCTTGTCGTCATCAGGGAGGTGCTGCTCCAGGGCCAGGACGATACAGTTAGCAATGATGGTGGCCAGGATCATGTACTCGAAGGGAGTGTGGGAGTTAAGGAGCAGACCCCCAGTGGCTTTGTGCTTAGCATTCTATCCTCTCCCCGCAACCCGACCCAACACCCCAGCCCACCCCCCAACCCGGAAGCCCTCAGCCCTTCACATCCCATCTACACACACAGCCACCCACTTCATGTGGGCACCCCGTAGCTCCCAGCCTGCACCGGTGACCTTTAAAATACGTTTCTATTAGGACATACTAACTATACATATGGGTCATATTCAAGCCCCATCCCACTCTCTTGTCCTCTCCCTTCTCTGTCCTTTTTCCACTTAGTCCCCTAGTCTCTCTTCTGATCTGTGTGTGTGTGCATGTTCACATGTGACTCAGTGGGTTTAAGTTGCTGGCAGAAGCACAGGCACCTCATAGGTGAGCACACCCCTGGAGAAAATGTCACCCCACTAACTGCATGTAAGTCCTCAGGGACTGATGAAGCCTTGTGACTCCTCTTTCCTCTATGACATGGTGTTAACAGGCCCAATCTTGTGCAGATAATCACCACAGCGTGGGTTCAAGAGTGCCACAGAGTGCCAGGCCCCAGCCTGCCCTCCAGTTCTTTCATTCTTTCCACCCCTTCTTGGACACACTTGTCTCCACCCCTGCAAGTACACAAGCCGCATTGCCTGTGGGGTTCACGGCCTACTACTACAGAGCCAAGGGCAGAAGAGAGCAAAGTTCCCGGGCTCCAGCACACAGACCACACTAGCTAGTGCACAGTGCAGAGAGCCCTGCCCTCTGCATGAGTGTGCTAACAGCCAGGAATCCAACCGGCCAGAGATGAAAAGAATTCAGAGAGAAAAGCAATGTGTCGGGCTGAGCACATGTTCGGACCCTAAACGGCACACAGCAGCAACTAATGACAAATGTGGCCCGTGCCAGGTCTTCTGCACCACCCAGGGATGAGCTGGCCTCTCTAGGAGGAGGTGTGCGGGTCTGGGGGCCAGGGACTGAGAGTCTGCAGATTTTATTAGTGGGGTTCAGGAACTGACCCACTGGGGATACTGACGGGGTGACAACAGGTCACAGCTATCATAAGATGGTGGCTACTATGGAAAGGATGGTGAGACACGGTGGTCAGGGGCGGAAGGGGCTCACTCTGTAGAAGACCGGCTGCACAAGCCCCGGACCTCAGCTGAAGCCACAGCGCCCGCATAAAGCCGGGGAAGCCTGTGTGCATCTGAGGCCCAGGCGCTGTGGAGGCGGACTGCCCCAGAGCCGCATTAGCGGCTCCGGCTTTACTGAGATACTCTGTCTGCCCGACACTGGCATCTGCACACACCCACACACGTGCACACACACACCTACACATACATACACCCACACAAACATACACACACACTCACTCACACACACCCAAACAGTGGCCTGCCAATCCTGGCAACCCAAGCCAGACCCCAGAACCAAAATGGTGCAAGGAAAAAGTGGCTCTCAAAAGCTGTGCACACCCTCCCTACTGCACAAAATGTGTATCTTGCATGCATGGCCCCTCCCCCACAGATTTTACAAAAACACCATAGGGAGGTATCAGTTCTCACTCCCACTAGAACCGCAGGAAGCAAAGCAAAGCAAAGCAGAAAGCATTGAATGCTGGGAGGTTTTGGAGGGGAAGGGCTCAGCCTAAACCTTGGGACCATGAGGCCGAGGGAGGAAAACCAGGCACAAGTGAGCAGACGGCCCCTGTGTATGGAACACACAGACCAGCAGGTCTTTCTGGGAGCTGGCCGCTGGGGGAGAGGAAAGTGATGACTTCCTGTGTGGGAACTCGATTCACAGTTACACAACAGAGACTGTCAAAGGTGGCATTTACGAGGCAGAGGCAGAAACATCTCTGTGATTTCAAGGCCAGCCTGATCTATAACGCCAGCTTCAGACCAGCAAAGGCTACAAAGTAAAATTCACTCTTGGGGTGGGGTGGGCTAGAGAGATGGCTCAGCAGATAAGTGCGCTTGCTGCTCTCATTGAGGACGAGTTCAGTTCCCAGGATCTGATGCCTCTGGGCACTGCACTCAATTCATCCTCTCTGTGTGTCTGTCTCTCTTATACACACACACAATCTTTTTTTGGGCTGGAGAGATGGCTCAGCTCAGCCATAAAAGGCAGAGCCTCACAGCCAAAATGTTTCTTTTTAAATCAGTGGTGGCCAGAGCAGGCACCTCCGATTATCTGACACTATCTGTCCCTCCTGTCTCTCACCCCAGGAACTGTCTGCTGGGTCCCATTGGGGCTCAACACTTGGGAGGACCCATGGTGCTCCTATACGAGGGCTTGACACACAGACTAGTTCAAGGTAAAATCACCCCGTTATCTGGCTCAGCCTCTCAGAAGCAAGCGTAGTCCAACAGCTTGGAGCTAGGGGTCCTGGAGCTGGAAGCGTGAACATGTGGCTGGCTAGACATGTGACCAACGTACCCCGAGTACTGGGACAGTGGGCTCCCAGCCTGACACAGCGCCTGAGGGGCACTGTCCTGGGCACCATGGGGTGTGGAGCAGCGTGTAAGCCTGCTACCTGTAAACCAAATATATCCCTAAGTGTTCCCAGGGAGTGCCCCCGGGGAGAGTGCGCCCTCCTATCCCGCACAGCCAGAACAGTCTCCCCTCAGTGTTTCCCTCTGCAATGCTAACTGGCCTGGTCTCCCCTTTGAGTCCAGATCTGTTTGGCAGTTTGCTTGGTGTTTTGAGGCAGGGTCTCACTCTGTAGCCTTAAATTCGGAAGCCTCCTGACTCAGCCTCCCAAATGATGGGACTGTATTCAGCCACTGTATTCTGCAGGTGCTGTCAAACCCCAAACCATCCCTTAGAAGGTTGAAAGGAGCTAAGCCTGAACCCATTTTCCAGGTGGAAAGGAAAGGAGACAGTAAGTGTAGGGAGTGTCTCTGCAAGGCAGGAGAGCCAGGCTTTCCTGTTTGGTGTCAGTCTCACTGCCCAGCTGCAAACAGCAATTTGGAAAGACAAAAGCTTCTCACAGCCCATCAGTAACTGGCTTCTTGCCTCTCAGCGCTGCAGGTCACTAGCCCCAGAACAAAGCCTGCAAAGACTCCCCTCTGTCTCAACCCTGCAGTTTGGAGAAGAAGAGCCAATATTTGCACACAGAGAAAGCAAGGCCAAGCCCTCGCTGACGATTTGAATGAGACTTGCATCCTAGCCCAGCCAGCCCGCCCACCCAGTCTGTGTGGCTGCTTCTTCATGGAGCCACAGTGGCATTCCTTGGCTTCCTGTCCCCAGATGGCTGCCATGGAACTGCCTTTGCAGCAGCTGACACCACATTTAGGTGCTGTTGTGTCAGCAAGGTTCCTATTGCCTAGGCTTCAGAACCCAGAATTCCCCAGGTCTGAAAGGAAGGCTTGGCAAGCAGGAGGATGGACAGTGAGACCCCATCCCTTCCCTGCAGCGTCACTGTGTTTTACTCGTCAGTTTTCACAGGGCTGGGGATGGTACCCTGCACCTCCTGCATGCTGAGCAAACGTTCTATGTCTGAGTCACATACTCAGCCCTTTTTCTACTGTTTATTTCAAGACAGGATCTCATGCAGTCACCAAGGCTGGCCTCCAAGTCACTCTGCAATCCAGGCAAGTCTTACACCTGCAACTCTCCTGCCTCAGCTTCCTGAGTCCTCAAAATGACAGACCCATACCCCCAGGCCCAGATCCTGAGGCTACTTCCTTTTCTTTTGGTCAAATGAAAACACATGAGCTCCAAAGTGTCATTTCCCAGACCCCAAGTCAGTGATAGTGGACCTGCACTCTGGCTATGCAAAGCAAGCTCTCAGCAGCGTTGCCATTGCGGCTCTTCAAGGATGCAGTCTGACCCAGCCCTCCCCCACCCCTGCATCCACCTGCTGAGTCAGGAGGAGCCTCTGGAGCTTCTGAGGCTGTGTGCAGCACAGTGCAGGAAGCCTCTGCTCTACTTAAGGGTGGGTGGAGCTCTGAGGCCACTGAGTCCTCTCCGCAGGAGGGGCTCTTCTTTTTCCTCCCAGTTTTTACCTTCACATCCAGAGTTCCTCTGAGCTCAAGAGCCCTAGATTCCCCCACTCAGGCCAGGGTGCTGAGAAGACACCGCACATCTGAATGAAGCAAGAGTAATGTTGGGGTGGGGGTAGGCAAGTGTGTGTGAGCACACATTGCCTTTCATAAGGTCTCACTTAGAAGAAAGGCTGGGTCCCCTCCTCCATGGCCCTGGAGCCTTCACAGCCTCCTTGACCTGTTTCTTCTATGCTCTGTTTTGCTCACTCAGCTCCACACATGATGTCTCCAGAATTTCCAAGCACCCCAGGCATGTTTGTGTTATAGGACCTTCCCATGCGCTGTCCGTACTTCTGGTAGGATTCCGACCCTTGCTTCCTCAAGATTTCTACTCAGGGTCACTTCCTTCAACTCTCTCTCTGCTTTACCTCCCCACACACTGGATTTAAGAGACCACTATATTTTCCATCTTCATCTTGTCCATTGTCTCCCCTCTGAAACAGGTGTGACACAGGCAGGGGTTTGCTCTGGACCCCTTTTCTCCGGCTTGTCCGGTTTCCCTAAGAAAGCCTGTGCTGTACACCAGGTATTTCATCAGAGGGAAGGGGGGAAAGAAGGAGCTGACCTCTGTATCTCCTCCTTCACTCCCCCTTCATCTTAGACCAAGCCCCTGGGGACATGTGAAGTCTACAATCAGGGACCTGGGAAGGTCACTCTGGTTAAAGCATTTGTTTGCTTCACAAGCATGGGGACCTGGGTTTGAACATGGAACCCATGTAAAAGGCCAGTGCTGAGGAGACCAGGACAGATGGCTCTCCGAATGGATCCATAGCAAGTCTTGATGAATTGGTGATTTCCAAGTTAGAAAGATGTCCTGTCCCAAAGGAGGTAGATGGCCTTTCTGAGGATGGCACCCAAGGCTGTCCTCTGGCCTCCACACACCTGAACCATCACACAGGCAAACACACAGCATTTTTTTTTTAAAGTTTTTTTGTGGAGCTGGAAAGATAGGCCACTGGTTAAAAGC